TCCGAAAATTTCCTGGCTTCTCGACCAGCAGAAACATTCTTGCAAGAAATGTATGGCCTAAAGGCATCCCGTAATGTCCCAGACGTGGGCCAGCAGAAGATGAACCTCGTGGACAGACTGAAGAGATTGGGCATTGCCAGGGTGATCAAACCCCCTGAAACACRGGAGCATGGCAAGAATCAGGGGCCAGAGGTTAACTTGCAGAGGCAGGACTCAGCTGGGTTTTTAAATGCAGGTAGCAACTTAATGGCAGGAGTGAGAAGAAACCAGAGTCTTCCAGCCATGATTGGAGCACTGGGAGCTCCAGCTTGCACACAGTCATAAAAAATGGATGTACTGAAGAAAGACTAACTGGCCTGAAAGGTGTTTGACTTAGAGCACAGTAAATAATGTGAGGGATGAACATCCAGTACAGGCATCATTAGATGTGTTACAGAAGAGTTGGAGAAAGGTATGTGCATGTTAAAGATGTGGGAGAGACAAGTGTTGGGACCAAGGAGCAAAGGAACATTGCTTGGATTTGAGGAAGAAGGTTTTTGTGGGAGATAAAGGTGAAACCAAAGCTTAATTTTAAGACCTCCTTCAGCATCTGTCTTAATCAGAAGTGAAGACTATTGTAGACATTTTCAGTGTTTTAACCCTTTGAACTGTCTGTGTAGGTGTTGTATTTTTTTCCACCATACAACTGTCGTATTTACTAGTTGTTTGCAGTCAGGCTACATCGCTTAAATATAATATCAAAATAACAGTCAGTCTGACCAGCATTATCAGTCCAAGTTCCTTTCTGTAGCAAACAAATATGAAAACTTGGATTTTTTTTATTCTTGTATTTTCCATTTCAGAAACTGTGCTCTTTTGAACTCCTTCTCACTTGGAGAAGCAGGGGAGAGAATGAACTCTTTAACTCTGTGTAAGAGAACAATACTTCCGTTTACAAACATGAGATTTATACTTTGGAAGAGTGCAATTGTGTTAGTAAGGTATTAACAGAAGTTAATTTCTTTCCAGAACTTCTGAATGAAGCACACAATGTTCAATGAATAAGAMTTGAGAAGCAGGAAAGTGTATATTGGGGTGAAAACTTCAAGCTAAGAAATCCTTCCAAAGTGTAGTGTGCATCTGTTTAAATGAGGATATTTTTGTGCACACAGACACACTCAGATATCTGAGGCACATTTCAGAACTGCAAAAGGAAATAAACCTTAGGTGCTTGATTCAGGGTTTCTTTTTAAAGACTTAAGTGGGAAGCATTTACTTCAAGGCAAGTGTTGGAAGTTGAGAAACCTGCCTCTTGTCTTGCCAAGTAGACATTCTGTGTCTTTGAGAGTTCTCCAGTAAAGTTTATGCCTTTCATTCCCTTATTTCTGATTTTAGGCAGGATTTTGTTCAAAATGTTTCATTAAGAGCAAAATTTGCCTGTCTGTATGTAAAAACAGGAGGAAAAAAGCTGGTGTTCTTTGTAGCATTTTAATGAATATCAAAATCTGGTGATTTGTTGAGGGAGTGTGKTTCTGAATGTAGCTCAGGCAGTCTTTAAAACTCAAAAGAGAACTCCAWTTTAGAAATCTGGTTTCTGAGAGGTAATCATCAAACTATTACTGCCCATGCTGCTTTTTTGATTCCTTCCTGTCCAAGGTTCTAATCATAACTGAACAATCTACAATATATGTTTTGTGTAACTTAAAGAAGAAAGTTTGCCCAAAATTGCTTGGAGAAATGGATCTTTGCTAGTGACCTGAATAGAAACAGGTTCTTAATCTTTATGTAAATTTTCAGTCTACCTATTAACATTGTAAAATTGTTTCCATATGATTAAACAGTGAAATTTACCTTGCCTGTTACAGTGTAAGTGGGAGATAGCTGGCAGCTGTCTGGGGGTGTGGTGTGAAGCATCAGTGCAATTACAGATTTGCATTTGCCATAAAGCACATCCACCATAATCAGCACCCTCCTTGCTGCAGGGSTGAGTGGAGTAGGGCAGGAAAAGAAAGCTTCTTAACCTTGTTTATAGGAAATTTGTAATGTGGCCTTTCTGCTTTTACAGTTCTATAGATCGTGTGATGACACTTTGAAAATTTTTTTTTGGTAAAAGGAAAAGGAGTAACCACTTCAAATTTGCACAGGTATTCTTAGCAGAAGCTTGTCTGTCAGCAGCGCACAGAAAATATTCAGGAACTCCTGGAGTTGCCTTTTGCTCTCTAAGCAAAATCTTACACTTAAAAAAGATGAATTTTATTTAAAATACTATATACGGGTTAATTTTTTTAAATGAAAAATATTTAATTTTTTCATGTAAGTATTTATGTTTGTATGTACTTAGCTGTGCATGGTGTCTTGCCTAGCTATATAAGGTAAGAGTGAAAGGAGTAGTGCAATGTTGGTCTCCAGTAGACTGAGACAGGTATGTCTGCTGTGTCTGTAACTTCCAGAGAAATGAATTAGCARAAGCTTAGACAGTTTGGTATCAACAGAGAAGTGTGTAGCATGTCAAAAGTATATCCATTTTATGTGTTTATTGTAGGAMTACCTGTAAGTTACAGATAAATTTTTGAAGGTATTACACTGTGTTTCTAACTGGCTTCATTAGATAACTCCAGCCATTGGATCAGCAGAGTAGCAAATCAGCTAAGGCAGAATTCCTTTGGCAAACGATGGTTCAGGTAAAACTAAACTAAAAGCATAAAAATTAAATATGTGTTTCTCTTTGGGACATTTCCTTATTCCACAGCCCAACAATATAAATTGGTTCAGTTCAAACAATACTGTGGATGTCAAGAGGTTGGTTATTTCTGTAGGTGACATGTATCATCAGATTCTTTACATAAGGCAAAAAAAAAAATGGAAGAGCCTTTTATACCATGGTGTTTGTGTGTTATCCAGTTGGTTGATACCGTGGTGCAGTGTTGTTGAAATTCTGTCRTGCACTGATGCCTTTGTATGGTGATGCACATTTTGGATGTACATGCCTGGCTTGTAGTAACAGGGAAAATTGAGACTTCTTCCAARTTTACCATTTTGTGCAAAACCTAGAAGATAAACCTTTTTTTAATAACATGTGTTTCTGAGAACATTTTAGAAGTTACCATAGTTCTAGGAACTGATTTGGCTTTTGTTGTCTCCCACAAGAGAGGTGAGAGGTGACAAACTTGCATGACTGAGATGGCTGAAATCCTGCACCAGATCTTTTGAGTAGGAGGTAGACCTAGAAAGAATGGAGAATTRCATTTTGGCAAGGGTCTGTTGCCTTGCAGGTTTGAGTCAAAAACAGGTGCTAGAAAGGATTTACTCTGCTTGTGCAAGTTACAAGAGACAGAAGGAAATTCTTGTATTTACTTAATTCCAATTGTCTTAAACAAAGCACAGACTTAAAAGCTTTCTAGTTTCACTGTTAGTTTTTGATAAACTCAGTGATACCTTGCATGCTCAAAATACCTGTGATCAAAGTTAAACATCTACTGCAGTCCAATAGCAACAGAGAGGGAAGAAGAATAAGAGGGTTCAGGCTTCATTTGTCTGTTTTATGAGGGGATTACACACAATGTTTGAACAGTGTGGGACTTTCATGGTATTTTTTCCATCTTTTTGCACCATTGTTTCATAGAGGAATGTAAATTTGATAATAAACATATATTACATGCCATTTTTCAGTATATTGCTGACGTTCTGTGGTTTGTTCCAGATGTCATCTTCTCTACTACAGTGTTCTACAACGAATGTAAATTAAGGCTTATTTGTGGCTAAAATTTAGTGATTATTACACTGTACACAAGCTTAGTGGAGTGAGTTAATASCTGCAGAAGTGGTGGCTTTAGAAGGCAGTAACATGATTAAAAAAGTTGGATGAGGCTGTTCTGGGCTGTTGTTTACACCTACACAGGCACAGGTGCCAGAGGAGCAGCACAAGGTGCAGTCTGAGTTTGCACAATGTGTGATGCTCAACACATACAGCAAACCTGCTGCTGCACTTTGAAAAGCCYTCTGCTTGAGAATGAAAGTCTTCACAAGTGAAGAATAGCTCAGCAACCTCTGGACAGTGTTTGAGTGTCAAGCCTCACTTTTACCCAATCTGTTCACGTTTTCTGGTTCCTTGAGGGATTTTGTGTGTGGATGGGGGTGCTTGGGGTTTTTTTTCTCTCTTTTACAGCAGCTAGTGTGTTCCTCTAGCRTTACAGTGTTTACACTGCAGTGTTRTCYAACRCCACCATGGTTGTTTTTCATCTCAGTAGCTGATGTGAGCCCTATGTATTTGTGACAAAAWGGGGGTAGACATGGAAACTGTTCTGTGTGCATGCTTACCAAAGGAGGCAATATAAAGTGTTTTAAGGAGCTGGGTTCACCTTGTGACTTTTCCTGTGCTTAGAACTAAGACTCAAAGATCAGTGAGGTAAATTATCATCTTCWAACATGAAGCTGTACCAGAGCAACAGAGTTTCATGTGGAGACTACTCTATGTAGAGGATACTTTGAAATCCAGGTCACAGACACATCCTGCTTGGGGTGTACCAAGCCACTGAGAATGAATGATTTTAGGTGATGGGGACAAGTAACAAAACACACGGATGTGAGCTGATTATATCCTATAAAATGCACAGCACTCCCCCCTTTATTTTGCAAAAGTTATGCATAAAGGACAAAAGGCTTTATAAAGGTTGTCTTCTAAAACTAGCCTTGCGAAGATAACTTATGAAAGCAACAGCAGTGTGGTACAGCTGATATGAGTACACTCAGTGTATTTTAGGCAGCAAACCACATAGAGAGATCAGSTAAATAAACTGGAGATAAATCAAGAGACCAGCTCAGAGATGCTCTCATGTATAAAGTGTTAAACATATTAAYACAAATTTCTTAAGGCTTTTTCTCCTCAGTTGTATTTTCAATTAAAAGTATCTGCTCTTTTGGTAAGRGAAGATACTGAAAAGTCTGTTGTGTTTGACCAAATTGTGAGCTCAAACCAGCCAGTTCCAGGCTGCTGCAGCTCTCTCTGCCGTGCAGTTCAACATTTAGTTGAGAGGAAAGATGAGCCTTTTCCTCAGTGTGAAACTGGGCTGTGGCATCTGCTTCTTCGCATCCCGCTCACTAGTTTTTCTGCTCACTTCTTGATTTACTGCTGTCAGGATGGTGAGAACATCTTCCCCTCTGCAAAAACATGAGTACAGTTTGTATTAGAGACAGTTAACGTCAGCAAAATAACAATATACTCATATATCTCAGTATATACTAGTGCTAACAGCTGCTGTTTTTAATAGGCTTCAGAGCAGTTCCATGTTGCTCTGAACAATCTGTACAGTGCTGTTCTGTCCTACATTACTGTTCTCACTCCAAGTGAGTATTCCCTTGCCTATCATCCACCTCTGCATCTGAACTGAATTCCTGTTATCCAAGAAGAAAAATTCAAATGCTGCCAAAAACAAGCTTATGGAAACATAGGTACCGAGGACAGCTGTACTCCAAGTGCTGGCACAGTGCCTGTATGTACCAGGTCCCCTCCCTGGGACTTCTGTAGGAGACGTAATCCTGCAGGGTTGCCATGCCCAGGAGGAAATCTGCCTCTGGGGGGAGGCAGTCCAGCTGAAACCTTGCAGCTCGCTCTACAGAAGAATCTTGCTCTCCAGCATCTGTTTCAATGGTCACACCTTTATGGAAAGCATCACCTTGGCAGGCCTGAATAAAAAAGACTTTTGGTTTTCCAGCAAGTGAGCTGCAATTCCGTACGGTGAAAGCAGTAGTCAGTTCCCGGATCGGTACTTCCTCTCCATCAACACCATAGATAATGCCTTTTTTCCCATGAGACAGAATACAGCAAACAAAACAGTCTTTATCCTCATGGTCTTCACTCCGGAAGATGTTCACAGTCTTACGGATGTCTTCTGCAGTGAGGTCTCTGTATTCYTCTACTCTAAAATGAAGCTTGCTAAAGACATTCCTCAGAGCCGCTGGAAAGTGAACAGAAGGGAAATTGGAGACAATTCATTATATGAAAGTTGGACACTGCAATTGCAAATTTCTAGATATAACTGATCATCTGCTTCATAATTACACTTACATAGTTACATTCCTGGCCCAAAAATACTGTAGTGGTCTAATCACTAATCACATCTCTACTGAGTTCCTTAATTGTCATGAAAAGGCTTTCCACCATCTTGCCTCTGTCTGGAAAGCATGCAAAACTATTAAGAAACTCTATCTCTTTTCCTCACCCACTTCACAGCAAGTCCTTCACCTCTCACAAGGTGCTGGACAGTGCAATTGCTTTACCCAAGACAAGAGCTCTACACATTTGGGTGCTACCCATGTCATGCGAGGAGGAACTGTACTCTGACTTGAACTAAAGGTGGTGTTCAGTTCAGGGAGGGAAGGCCCATTGATGGATTTTATGTCTTGGCACAGACAGTGCAAATACAGCGATCTCAGAGACCCCAGGACCTGCCATGAGCTCTGGCTGCTGCAGGACAGCCTGCTAAAATCAGGGCCCCTGACTACTGCCATCCTCCCTCATGTTTTTAAAGACAGATGTTAATTAATCCGCAGTTCTGGTTCAGCAGTAGATGTTTCCAAATCTGCATGTTTTAGAATTARTATGCATATGGCTGATGCAAAGCTAGCCTAGCTTGTAAAGTCCAGGCTCAGGTTGCTGCTTAAGGTTGCAATAACTCCACTAAAACTGCAAAATGCTAGTGAATTGTTCGGTATCAGGCACTAAAACCTTGATTAGGGCTTGTTGATTACGGCTTGTCACCACAGTAAACAGAGCCAACTGAGCCACTACAACAAAAGYATCCTAGAAAGGSAAGACTGAAWTTCAGACCTTTAGYAYARAAAGACAARCAAGGTTTCCATTTTTAAAAGATTYGCAAACTCATCTTTAACATTCACTGTACCTGCATCCACRTCTGTCCCATTCCGATCCTTCATATGTTTGTGTTCCAGCACTCCTTCCCTRGCTTTTGCAAAATTGTGATTATTCATGATCAGGCACACTCCACAGGGTCGGCTGGTCATTCTGTAAGCTTCCAGCTGCTGAAAAGAAAGACCCCTGGTGAAACTCGTGCGCTCTGCTCCAGGCTCCTCAGCTGGGAGTGGCACAGCAGGGTACAGAGCCAGCTGGCCTCCTCTTCAGGCAGCTCTCCCTAAACAGCTCTGCTCCCTGGCAGTGCCCTGCCCCACTGCCTTTGGCACTCTGTGCAGGACAGGACTGTACTGGACAACCAAAGTCAGGCTCAGCCCACACAGGGTGCTCCGTTCATCCATATTTCCATGCCAAGCCAGCTGCCAACTGCCCATTTCCTGGTATAAACTCAGCCTACCTTGCTACCCTTGCAGAAGTTTCTGAAAGTACAACACTGCTGCAGCTGTGCCATGACATAGCTTCAGAATAAAGGATGCAGAATTGTGCATTTTTCTTAACAGTGCTTTTAACAGCTGGTCTTAGAACAACTGTTCACATCATGGAGGGGTGAACTCTTYTAAGACAAAATGATGATGTTTCTAAGAAATAAACTTACCAGGGAAGTGTCATGAAAACTGCCAGGAGGATCAGGTGCTCCAGATGACACCGGGTGCCACTCAGGGCCTCCTGTGCTGCTCCTCTCTTCCTCTGTGATGAGCATCTCTTCTTGACCTGCAAAGAATTCATTACTAGTCCTGTACAATACCTATACATCACTTCAAGAATAACTATGAGGAAGAGGCCATTTTGTTCTGTTTTACCAAATGGTTTTAATCCATCTTCAATTCTGTTCCACAGGCTGATGTTAACTCCTTCGCAGAGACGCTTCAGCATACTTAGATTGTCTTTTCCCAGAAGACCTTTCTTCTCCATCTCAGTGAAAATGTCGAGCATTGTCTGGGTGATCAGAAACACAGTTTGCTCTTGGGGCACATCCATGCTGCCACTGGGAGTGAAGCTGCAGCATATGGAGCTAAGCTTCAATGTAATGACAACACGTGTGACCCACAGAGTCAGTCCAGCTGACTGGGAGCTCAGTTGAGATCTCAGATGAGCCAGTTAATCCTAGTTCAACAAAACCTACAAATACTGTTAAATACAAACATCATCTCAAAACATACTCATTTCCCTTCAGTAGCTTAGAGGTGCAAAGATCGAATTAAAATCTAACCCAGGACATCTAACGTCATCAAACAGGAATATATAACAACAATTTTAATGACTGTTTTCATTCAACTTTCAGAGGCTATCTTGTACACTTAACTGAAACACAAGAATCACTGCAGTGACCATCTTCAGCAATGGCAAAAAGGGTATAACCTCACAAGATGGTGAAGAGGTTACTCTGAAGCAAAACAGGATTTGGGGACAAGGGACAGAAATTCATCAAACAGTGAGTGGCACAGTGGTCACCCCAAGAATTTACTAGAACAGCTATCACAAACCTCCCCTATAAGAAAATGAAGAAAACTTTGGACAGAACAGAGTAGCCAGCAGTCAGAACTGCAGGCTGAGACAGTATAAAAGCACTAGATCTCCTGTTATTTGTAAATTGCAAGCTCACTGCCCTTAGTGTTGAGAAGGATCTACCACTTAGATCTGTATTTTCTGGTTTTAAAAAGAAAATTATAAAATAATACCCACAGTGGGTGACTCTCTGTATTTGATAATGGCTTAGAAAGAAGCTGAAAAAAAAAAAGTGAGTTTGTTGGTCAAGATGAGTGAATGTGTTCATCAGTCTTTTGTTGATTAAAGCCACTGAATGCCCTGTGTGGTGTTTGGATGTGATAGCCTCAGTCACAGCTGGCTGTGACACTGCTGCAAAAGCTGTGCCCAACAGCAGCACAAACAAGTCCCATATGAACCCAGGGGCACCCTGTTTCTTGTGGTGTTTGCACTGTAAGAGTGACACCATAAAGAAGAGTGACACTCATTCCCCCATGAGCAACCCGACTGTCTCTATGGATTACAGCAATCATTCAAAAAAAGTATTAAAGACATACTTACAGTCTCAGGGGTCAGCTTGCTTTTTGGTAATTCTTCGACCAAAAGTAACTTGAAAGCCATCAGCTCATCTTCGGTGATGTCTTCAGACAGCTCAAAGAGCAAGTATCTACAGAAAGAAGTGGAGGGCACTTATTTCATCTTGTTTCCCAGCACAACTTAGCTCCGTACTATTGCACTGCCCCTACTGTCCGCCCCAGCACACATTCCCCTTTTTTTTTCCGTTTTAGGTGGGAGGCCAAGTCCCAGGGCAGCCCGAAGTCAAACCCTTTTCACCTGGGGTGAAACCAGATCTGGGCTCTCCCTAAGCGAAAGCCGCGCCGAAGCTCTGGGGCTCTGCGAGCACAGCCCCGTGTCCTCCCTGCCTCCTGCCCGGCTGCCATGGCCCCTCTCCGCACGCCTGCTCCCGCTTTCTCTGGGGCGTTCGCAGCCCTCAGCCTGTCCCGAGCACAGTGAGGCGGACACGCCAGCCCAGCCCAGCCCAGCCCAGCCCAGCCCAGCCCTGCCCAGCCCGGAGCCCTCACTCACCTGAGGGGCGGAACCCTCGCCCCTCCCGGCGCCCGCAGCTCCCTCTCCACCTGCTCCCGGCTGCAGCCCAGGTGGGCAACCAGGAGGTCGATGCGCCCGATGCGGTAGAGCAGCTCCCTGAGGAAGGCCAGGTTCCCCGCCTCCAGCACGCCCTTCTCCTCCAACGCCTCGAACAAGTCGTGCGGGCTCCGGGCGGCTTCCAGCCTMCTCCGGGGGACGTGCTCCCGGCTGAGGAACTTGAGCGCCGCCAGCTCGGCCCCGTCCAGCTCCTCGCTCACCGCCAGC